TATATACATATATATATATATAGAGAGAGAGAGAGGCAGATAAAGAGAGAGAATGCTACTTTTGGCAGGGGGGCATTTGGCTGGTCTCTTTTCCTCTTTCGGTGGTGAAAAAAAAAAACATAACCAAAAACAAAAACAAACAACATACATTAACGTAGTAGTAGCTGTGGTGGTGTTGGGTGAGTTCAGTGTTGGATGAGCATAGAAGACTGAGAGAAGAATGTTGTACTAGATGCTGTTGTTCTTGTTGATGTTGTTGTTGCTGTTGTAGCTGTAGTTGCAACACTCGACTGTTGTTACTGTAATAGGTGCGCAAGTGTATTGATGCTCTAGTTACTGCTGCTGCAGCTGTTGCTTACACAAATACACATACATACACATTCACACACGTACGCACGCATGCACATACACAGAGACAAGAGAGAGAGGAGCTGAGAAAAGGGGGGGTAGCCTAAGGTAAGTTCCTTCACATTTGTTACTGCAGGGGGGGATGTGTGTGTGTGTGTGTGACTTTGGCTGTTTGCGTGGGGGGGTTGTGTGTGTGTGTGTGTGAATGTACACAAACAAACAATATAAACAATAACGATAAACGATCCAAAATGAAAAGAAAACGATAGAAAATACTGTTAACAACGGCTTAGCCGAAGACTAAATACCTTTGCTGACAGCTGACATCGGCAAATGCTTAAGGATCTGCATACAGTGAACACACAATAATTGGAACTAATTCGAATTAGAATTTACAATGAAATTTGTGAGAATTAAATAATTACAAATCACAACATTCCAATATACGAGGCTTCACTGTATCGATAGTCTATACACTGTGTGGGTTAGCCTGCTCATCGCTTCCTTATTAGACTGATGATATAGTGATACGATCCAACCAACTTCAACATATATGCTGACTGCAGCAATTAGCAGCATCTATGCCAAGTTTCATTAAGATTGATTCACTGGATGATGAGTTCATATAGGCCAGAAACGGAAATGCTGAACGCACGGAAGGACACCAGGTCACAAATCAACTTAGCATATGCATTCTACTCGTTGCAGCAAGGGTATTATACAGCAATGTTAACAACGAAAAAAGTTCTAAAAAAAATGAAAAGTTAAAATTTGATAGCATTTCTTTTAGCTAAAAATAATTTTTTGTAGCAATTTTACATACGCTTTTTTTTTAGATTTTTGTTTTTTTTTTTTTTTTTTGGTAGTTGCTTTACGTGATAATTCGTTTTTTTTTTTTTTTTTTTGTTGTTGTTCTTGTTGTTGGTGATTATTGGTGGTTGTTGTTGTAGTTGTTGTTGTTGCAGGAGGAGTTGTTGCAGTTGCAGTTGAAGCTGAAGTTGTGAAGAAGCGCAGCGCAGCTGAATTTGAAGATTCATAGACATTTCTTTTTTTTCTGTGATGCAGAGATGCTCGGCGCAGGGTATTTGCTTTTTTTTTGTAGGGGGTGGAAGGTATATGGGGGGTGGGGGGTATGGCCAACCCGGTAGGGGTGCAAGAACTGAAATGAGCTACGGAGCTAGAGCAACAACAAATTAAATAAAAGATGATTAACAAAAAGTGAGCCCTAAGCTGTTGCATGTTGTTGAAGTAGCTATTGTTGTTGTTGGTGTTGTTGTAGTACTTGTTGGTTGGTTGTTCTTGAAGTTGTTGTTGTACTTGTTGGTTGGCTGTTGTAGCTGTTGTTGGTGGCAGGCTGGCTTCTAGATGAGCATAAGATGATTCTTACATATATATAAATATATACATTCATTGATCAACAAATATATATACTATATATCTTATATATACAGATATACTGTGGGGGACAGAAGCAGACCCGTTGAGGCTGAGAGGCGTTGCAGAAGACGCGTGTAGGACTGCAAGTTGAAGTTGAGTCTACAGTTGTTGTCTACGGTTGTTGGCTGTTGCAAAGCGCTGATTGGTTGATTGGCTGACTGGTTGATTGATTGGCTGATTGACTGGTTGGTTGGTTGGTTGATTGATTGGTTGATTGATTGGTTGTTGGTGTAATTGGAGTTAGATTTGATTGCTGGCTGGGTCAGTAGTTGCACTTGCTTGTTGTTGTTGGTTGGTTGGTTGGTTGCTGTTGTTRTAGTTGTTGGTTGTGGTGGTGGTGGTGTTGTTGATAAGTGTTGTTAATATATGTGAGAGAGCATAAGTCGTTGTTGTTCTTGTTGGTACGAAAGTAGAAGCATTTTATGATGAGCTATGAAGACTGTTGTTGTTGCTTATTGGTGAAATTGCGACGACAGCTGCAGTCAAAAGCCGTTGATTGATCGTTTGATTGACCGACTGATTGACTGGCCCCACAATTGCGCTTTGCTGGCACGTCGCTCTTGATGATTTGTGTGTGTTTGGGAATGTGAGAGCATGTTATTTATGTTCTCGTTTGTGGGTGTGTGATGAGTTAGAGAAAGAGAGTGAGAGAGAGAGAGATAGAGAGATAGATAGATGGATAGAGAAAGAGAGTTGTGTGAATTATGTTGTGTTGTGTGGTGTCGCAGTTGATGCTGATGCAGGTTGTAGCTGTTGCTGCTGATGGTGGATGGTGATTGGACTGCCCCTTCAGCTGACAAATAGATGCGTACGTTAAGTACAAAGATTTTGTAGAGAGCTTGCGAAGAAGAGCATGTGTTCTTGTTGCTATTGTTGTGATGTGTTGCTGTCGCTGTTGTAGTTATTGTTGTTGGTGGTTTTGTTGTTTTTCTTGTTATTTTTTGCAGTCAGCGGAATATATCGTATTTGTTGAAATCGACAATTATCATAAAGCTGCACAATTTGGTTGGGCGTGTTGTTGTTGGTGTTGGTGAAATGTGTGTAAGAGGAGGAGCAGGAGCTGTTGTTCTTGTTGTTGTTGTAGTTATGAGACGTGAAGTTGTTCTTGTTGTTGTAGTAGTTGTACTTGTTGAAGGAAGAGGAGGAGTAGTAGAAGTTCTAGTAGTAGTAGTAGTAGTAGTAGCTGTTGTTGTTGTTCTTGTTGTGCTTGTAGTAGAAGTAGACTTTATCCTGCAAAATGATTGTGAAACCACATTAAAACTGAGCCTCAATCGTTGATGAATTGTTTTTAATTGGTTTGTTCTATTTTTACTGGTTTACTTGTTTAATTTAAATTTAATTATATGCGATACTTCTAAGATTTTCACTAAAACACAACAAATCTTTGTACAACGGCGAGGCCGCATTTGAATAACAAGCGGGCAAACGGGTCAAACGGGTGTGGATGAAACCTTCAATCAAGTACTTAAAGGATTTTAACGTAAAGCGAATTAGCTATCGACTGTTAAGCTGAGCGTCCACCAGCCCTGGTTTATCGATTATTGATATTCGGACTTTTGAAACTCTCGCGTGGTGCACACAATTGATGCGCACGACACTGTAAATCTGTGTCTGTGTGTGTGAATGTGTGTGTGTATGCCGTGTGTATGTGTATTCATGTGTGCGCTGTGCTCACTTTTACAACCGGTACTGCAATATTTCTTGTATGTATACGCACATTAGCGCGGGCCCGTTTTCATTTATGTACGTTTTTTTTTCGCTTGCCCCAAATCGATTTTTCATACTTGTCTGTTTTTTCGCCAACTCATATGCAATGCGCAACACAAATAAATATATACGCATATACATGGTATATACAAAGTCTTAAATGTACATATATATATACATATATAACAAATTAAGATGCAAGGGGAAGAAATGGGATTGCACTCACCTATAACGTCCGCCAGCGTCACCAGCACGAGCAGCTGCACCGCCGCCACCTCCACTGCCACTGCGTCCGCCGCGTCGGCCACCGCCGCCTCCACCGCCGCGTCCTTCGCGTGAACGGCCTGAGGACATTTCGACGCGTATGCGTGTGCCACAGCAGCGTGTGCCATCAAGTCCTCGTGTCGCATCCTCTGCATCGCGACGATCTTCGAATTCGACGAAGGCGAAGCCAGGAGGATTGCGTGCTACCCACACATTACGCAGGGGTCCATATTTACTGAACGCGTTTTCAATCTCATATTTGGAGGCCGAGGAGCCAAGATTGCCCACGTAGACTTTGCAGGCCAAGTCCCATTCACGATAGCGGGGCATAGTGTATATTTATATATATGTTAATATTTTTTTAATTTTATACAAATTTCTTTATGCCAGCGATTAATTGCGTCGCTAGGTATACACAATTTATATATGTACTATATATACTTCTTTTCCCAGGCAGCAGGCAAGCACAACCACGCTTACGTAGAGAGAAAATTAATTTGTGATTGTGGTAAAAAAAAATACAATTTCAAGATGGCAGCCTACTTCCTATCGATGTATCGTATACTAGTAAGAGAACGATAGCAGGATACTATCGATTTGACAGCAACCCTGCTGATGTGACAGTGCCGCACAGCTGAGCTCTCTCACTGCTATTATTTAATCGCCCAACATTTCGTTGATTTCTCACCAAAAACTTAAATAAAACAACAAAGTACAAAATGGCTAAAAGCCCCGAAACTGTGTCTTTAGATCAGCTGGATAAAGATCAAATGAAAACAGTAAGTAACCAGCTGCATTTGATTGATAAACATGCTGCCAATGTGATGCAATGTGCAATCGAATAAGCCGCCCGCTTGAATCTGATTTGTTGACCTGTAACTGAACAACGTGCACATGTATATATGTATGCATACGTATATATATAGTTTTCAGATTTTCTGATGTCGTACAACAAACTATCCGAAATGTGCTTTACGGACTGTGTGCGCGATTTCACATCCCGCGATGTCAAGGACTCTGAGGTGAGTCAATTAAATCTAAAGCCCAATGGATCAAAGGAGCTCAAACGTTTCTGATTTTATAGGAGAAATGTTCACTGAATTGTATGGAAAAGTATTTGAAGATGAATCAACGTGTCTCCCAGCGCTTCCAAGAATTCCAAATGATTGCCAACGAAAATGCCTTAGCCATGGCCCAAAAAACCAATAAACTATAGAGGAAGAATCATGAGGAAGCTGCACAGTTCGAGTTACTAAGTAGTTGAGTTAACAACAAACGAAATCCCAGCCCAGAGCTACAATAGCACAAATGCATTTCTATTTTGCATTTGTATGGCCCCTAGCAACTAGCAATTAAATAAATACAAAAATAGAAAACACAAAATTGGGTTCAGAGAAACTCTTTCGAGTCCTCTTCAAAAAGTTAACTCTTAACTGGTATTTATTTATTCAGCTGAGGACAACATATTCATCTATGTATATCTGTTCTGCTCTTATACACACATTCAATATATATTTTCTCTCTCTCTCTACCTTCCTTCTAATCTTTAAGCGAATTTGTGGCATTTGGTTTTCTTGTTGATTTATATATAGATAAGAGATAAGAGATCTGTTATTTTATTTAATCATGTAAAGAGTTAAAAGACACAGCGAATTCTTATGTTATAAACAAAAAAAATGAAAGGAGAGCAAATGAAGGAATATAGGGATAGACAAGGGCTGCGAGATTTGTTTTTGTTGTTGTTACGATTTATCATTTCAGCCTCTTAACATAATTAATTTTTAAATGTGCGGCAAAAGCTTAATGTGCTATTGCCTTAAATCTAGGTTTAAGTAACGCTGACAGGGGCTTCATGTTCCACTAATGATTTATGTCGATCTATGATATGATCTTTTTTAAATCATATAACCTACATTCTTATAGACATACATATTTAATGATATATGTATATATGAAGCCAACGCCTGTCGGCTAAATTAAATACTTAAAGGCTACACAAATGTATTGTATCCTGTTGAGCTATTCAGCTAGACTCATTTGTTCAGTGACTGGTGCCGCCTGCCTCGGATGGAAAGCCCTCTGCCTCATTGATTAGAGCATATTCGAGAATGACGCGGCCCTCTTTATACCTGTTAAGGAGACAACATGAACGATCATCAAAACAAATAGCGGGCTAAATTTGATGGATTTTACTTTTGCGTCTCCTCGGTGGCAAATTCATACATCCAGCCAAGCTTTGCGCCGCAATTCTTGCACATTACATCGCGCACCATATGTCGTCCAGTGAGCATCACGCGCTCCTGAATGGCACTGAAAGTCAGGTTGACAACGCGCTTGAATAAATAAGCGCGACCTGCAGAAGCATAAAAGTATCAAATATAACAGGGGGAACACGGGAGTATAAGAATGGGATTGGATCTCCTACCTGTGGCGCCTGTGAATCGTGTGCTAATCAATTGGCTGCGATTCGTTAAGTTCGTATGACATTGGGCGCAATTGAAGAGCTTTAGCCCACCCAAATGCTCCAGAAAGATGCGACCCATAATTTGCCTTTGACAAATTGCTCGTTTACCTGTCTTTAATTATACAGTCTCTATGTGTGAGTGAGTGCGCGTGTGTGTGTGTGTGTGTGCGTACTTTTCTTTGTTTGTTGACGCTGTGTGTAGAAATTGTTATACAAAATGAGTTATTAAATATTTTGCTAATGTGCAAAATTTTTTTTGTTATTTTCTGCTAATTGCAAAACTTACAGTTGGTTGACCTTTTCTGCGTCGAACGCACAAAATACCAATATAAATGCTAAAGTTGTCAGGTCCTGTAGCACAATTAAGCGTCGCTAGATATGGCTTAGACTACAACACGCTAATTGCGACGCCTGACAATAAAAATCCAAAAAAAGGAAAATAAAGAAAACAGCGTAGCAATAACAATGCAAAAAAAACTAGGGCTAACGCACAGCTATCGCATGTAAGTATCGAAAAAAAAATAATAGCTGATTATTTAAAGTCAATTATTAAAAGCGCAATCTAAGATTATAAGAATAAAGCGCACTTAGAATTAACAGCGAATTTATAATTAAATCTTTAAATTGTTTAAAAGCTGTTTATGGTGCTGATCGATTATAATTGATTATGCCATCGTATAGCTACCATACTCGATAGTGCTGGTATTTTTGCAGCCCCGGTAAACAGCTGTTCACTACACGTGATTGTGCAATTGTTGATGCTGGTGTTGTTGTTGCTGTAAGCGGCAGCCAGCACACGCTGCTCCTAAATAATTTTGTAAATAAATTTATAATCAAAAATTCGAGTATGATGTGCAAACGATTTTACAAAATTCAAAAATAAAAAACAACTTTCTTGGCCCCCAGTCCTAACAATATGGAATCCAAAGACTAATTGCGTTTGAGGAGACCATGCTAAATTTCAGACTTCAAGCAATTTGCTGTTGACAACAATTTGTATATAACGGTATAAATAAAGGAAAAAGGAAAAGAAAAATATGCAACTCCCGCGTCGAAAACTGCGCATACTGCTCACCCTCGGTAAATATACCATATATCGTCATGCGACAACCGGCGCTGGATCTGGCGCTAGCGTTGGCACTGGCCGGACTGTAGCGCTGCAAAAGATGCGTGAATGGCATCGGAATGCGTTCAGCAATAAGTTTCTGCTTTTCACCAATGTGGGCATCTCGCTAACGCTCAGCTCCTTGGGCGATATACTCGAACAGCAGCTGGAGCTGTACAACAAAGAGATTGAGGAATACAGCAGCATACGTACTCGTCACATGGCAACCAGCGGCGTGGCCGTTGGCATCATTTGCCATTATTGGTATCAGCTGCTGGACAAGTATCTTCCGGGCCGAAGTATGCGTGTGGTGGCAAAAAAGATTGTGTTGGATCAATTGATATGCTCACCATTGTACATCTCAGCGTTCTTTGTGACACTTGGCATACTGGAAAAGAAGGAGGCGCACGAAGTGTGGGAGGAGATCAAGGAGAAGGCCTGGAAGCTGTATGCAGCTGAATGGACCGTTTGGCCGGTGGCACAATTTGTTAACTTCTATTGGATACCCACACATTATCGCATTTTCTACGATAATGTCATTAGTCTTGGCTATGATGTATTCACATCAAAGGTGAAACATTCGCCTTCCACACATATGCCATCACCAGCCACCCCGTCTGTGAAAATGTTGAAGACGCAACAGGCTTAACTTAGTTAATACTTTAGTTTATTGCCTTTTATGCCTCTATTTCTCTATCTTATTCTTTAATAAATTCAGATATGTATATATTGTATATACGCAAGAGTTAGTAAGTAAATTGTTTTGCGCTGTCTCTCTACTCTGCCCGTCTGTTAACTAATCCATCAAAAAGTCGGCCTGCAACTTTCAATATTTGTTTCATGCAATTGCAAGTTGCAACCGGTTCCTCATGACACGCCCAGACGCCTTAATTGATGCTGATGAATTGAGCACAATGACCGGCTGTGCCGAAAAAATTGATCTATGGCAATTAAATTCTTGTTTGGCAATTCAGCAATCAGCTAAGGAACCTTTTTCACAGCTTTAGATGTGCATGTTAATGACGCAGATGAAACGCGCACGTTTGCTGATAACTGTCTGTGGCTGGCTAGCTAGCAACACGCCATGCCACGCCCTATTTATATTTAAATATACATATATATAATTCTATATATATGCATATGAAAATATACTTATGTGTATGATAAGCGCCCATCAGTTGCTAGCTAATTAAAAAAGATTAGACTGAGTTAAACAAGTATGTAACCGCCGCATCCCATTTGAAAACGTTATCAGCGCTTTATGGCATCGATTACATTGTCTTGTCCTCCGATAAATATTTGTTCAGTTCGATAATTAGTGTCAAAGCTATCGATGCTCGTCTCTCTAAATGCGAGCAGCTTGAATGTAACGGATTTTAATGAAATTTTAAAGCTTCTACATGTTTCATAAATGCAATAATTATATTGTTAGCAATATACAAATATATACAGTTTAATTTATAATGTTTTTACTCGTATATAAATCTAATATAAGTATAAATCAGTGCAGCCCATTCGAAAGTCTTATCTGCACAGGTTTGGGCATATAAATCTAAACTGTATACACACATTAAATTCATATATATACATACAAATGTGTACATACATATATATCCATTAATGAAACAGCTATCTCTAACAATGACTGAAGAGCGCTTATCAATTCTCATGACATTGATAATGAAAAATTGGTTTGTGCGAAACGAAGTGAAAGCAAAATGAAATATAATATAGCCATTAAAGAATGTGCAGTTTATTAAAAAAAAAAATGTGTATAGTAAAGCCTCCCTTGGCGGAAAGGCTCAGCTTTTCTGTAAAGTGCATAAAAATTGATTAACATTTAAAATGGACATGTACATTTTAATAAAGTCATATAATAATATTATAATTTTATTTTACTCTCAATATATTGTTTTTATAATATAACTTATTTAATGAAAAGATTCAATTTTGTTTCAAGTTCAAATAAATGTTTTAAATTTCTCTAAAATTAAAAATTTAATAAATTATTATATATAAATTAAATACACTATTTGTTTTATTACAAATAATAAGTACAAATACTTACATAATACATGTTTCTGATATTCGAGTAATTGGAACCGACAGACACATAACTAGATTTGTTCTCACTAGTTGGGCTCTACTGTACTTATTTTTAATACTGACAACGACCTTGATAGCGCACAGATAAGAAAGACTACCCGCAATTGCTGAAGCTCTGCAGATAAACTTTTTCTTGATTTGCTTTTAGGCCCAGCAACAGGTGAGCAAGTTGCAAATATATATAAATATGTACATATATTTATACGCCTTCATATAACAGCCGTTTTGTTGTTGCTTTGGGTTTTTGGAAACGATATTTGCATATTTAGTTTGCTCCAGCAGGCTTGGGTTGATTGTAAACCGGTTTTGGTTAAAATTAATTTCATTTTTTGTATGCCTTTTATTTTTTGGCAAGAAGAAGCAAGCACAATGGGAGCTTAGCAACTGAACAGGCCCCCGAAATTAATGAGAGCTAACAAAAACTATTGATCGAGCAGTGTTATGGCAGTTGCTATTCGGCGTTTTCTTTCTATTTTTGAGAATCAATTAATTTTTAATCATCTTAACATCTTTGCATCATGATTTACTTTTGATTAGCCCTTGCTATATTGCCAATGAATTTCAATCTTTTATCTCAATTTGCATCGAATTAGATTTGGCTCAACTGTGCGTATGCGTAATAAATGTGTGAATTTACAGCTCCAAGGCTGCTCTCAATGCTGTAATTCTAACCCAATCCAAAATCAAACACAAACAACAACAAATTTCAACTTGTTTTCGAACTTAATTGACGTCTTCGTACAGCGAACAACAAAAACAAGTAAATTAAATGAAAACATTTACAAGAGGCTGACAGCAAGTTGTGCCAACGGCCCCCCGGGGCCCGCTTAACAGTGCGATAGAGGGCGCGATCGCTAGGAACGCGCGCTGATTGGCCAATTTTCTGGGCTCGTCTGTGATGTGCCTCTCTGCGATAAAAGAAAAAGATAATAAATATAAGCATACGTACGGTATATATATATATATATATATGTACATGCACATCTACATGTACATGTTCGGAATAAGCAAGGAAA